GAAGTCCCTGCTGGGCTTCAGACTGCAATGTTAGCCACTTCCTCTGGAACATTTTCTGTTTACACTCATTAGCATAACTTCCATCTCATATTCCCTCCTGACTGATAATTTTTTAATGTATTAGATTTATTCATTTTATGTATGAGTGTTTTGCCTACATGTATGTATAATATACCACATACATGCTTGGTACCCATGAAGGTCAGAAGAGGGCAGCTGAATCCCTGGAACTGGAGTTATGGATGGTTGTGGACCACCATGTGGGTATGGAAAATCGAACCTAGGCCGTCTGAGAGCAACAGTGGTTTTTTTGTTTGTTTGTTTTGTTTTGTTTTTTCCAGACAGGGTTTTTCTTTGTAGCTTTGTAGACCAGGCTGTCCTCAAACTCAGAGATCCTCCTGTCTCTGCCTCCTGAGTACTGGATTAAAGGCATGTGGCTAGCAACAGTGTTCTTAACCACTAAGTCATCTCTCCAGTCCTGACTGATAAGTAATTTTCAAGCATTTTTTTAAATTATACTTTGGGGATTCTGGAGATCATGGACACTTGTCATGTGTTTGTTGGCTAATAAAATCAGCTGCTGTGTTATGCTATTAGGTGTCTACGAGCAGCCGCCCTCTGAGCTGTCTCCTCTGTCTCATGCATCACAGGAACCATCCTGCTGTGGTAAGAGCACAGGTTTGAACAGCCCCATGATAGTATAGAAATTAGAAAACACAGTTGTGTTTTTAGGCCTGGAAACAAAGACATCCAGATCTAGGAGAAACTTGCATAAGAAGCAAACTGACCTTAGTTGGTAATGATATAGTTTAGTTCACACTTACCCAATGTAAGAAGAGGCTTGTCCCTCCAGACAGCCTCTCATGTATTTGAGATATGTGATATGTTGTCTCCTCCTAGGGGTGGCTGGAGGTCATGCACCTTGAAAAGGGTAAAAACTCCACTGCACACCCAGCAAACTAATGATTATAGCTTGTCATCATAAACAGATTTGAGCTGTTCCCTGTAAGGTAAAGCACCCCTCTGCTGTAAGGGCCTGAGTCAGAGTGCCCCACCCCAGCAGCGGACGGTAGAGGGAGCTGAGAGCAGGTGCAGAGATGAGAAGAAACAGGGTCACATCAGTGTAGGCATATGACTCAGCAGAGCCCGTGTGTGGCCACACGCCCAGGGCAAGTTGTCTGAGGCTGAGTTTCCCTTCCACCCAGAAGTTAGGTAACTCTTTGTCTGCTTATAAATCATGGGGACTGTCAAGCACCGTACTTAAAGGGCTAATCCCTGGCAGGTGATCCTGACAGGCAGCTGAGAAATTCTGGCTGGGCTTTGGGAATTGTGCTTGTAGCTTGAAAGCATGAAGTTTGAAATGAATTGCATCATCACCTCAGACTTCACTTCATAAAATAACCACAGGATGACTATATAGTGGTCTTTGAAGTTGGTGAAAAACCCTCTTTGACCCACATGTTTTTCTAAGTGTTGTCTCCACTTCTAAGACTTTGGGGAAAGGGCTGGCCTTGATACTCATCCCCTTCGTTCTGTGATAGATCATTCTCTCCAGACTTATTAGGCTATCTGAATCTCCTGACTTAAGAATGATCACCTTAGCCAGGTATGAGGATGCATGCCTTTAATCCTAGCACTCAGGAGACAGAGGCGGGTGAATCTCTGTGAGTTCAAGGCCAGCCTAGACTACAGAGTGAGTTCCCAGACAGCCAGGGCCACATAGAAAGACCCTGTCTCAAACAAAAAAATGGAAGGGGGGGGGAGAAGAAAAGAAAGAAAGACAGACAGACAGATAGATAGATCATCCCTTGGGGCTGCAGAGATGGATCAACAGCCCAAGTCTAGTGTCCAGCACCGACATTATAGCTCTCAACCCCCTATGACAACACCTCCTAGAGGTCTAACCCCTCTTCTGGCCTCCATGGACACCCTCATAAATAAAAATTAGTCTTAAAAAAGAATGGGCATGATCACCAGCCTGCATGATCACATTTGCATCAGCCGTTCTTTCCCTCTCAAAAAAAAAAAAAAAAGCATAAGTCAAAACAAACAAAAGCCAGTAAGGCAAATAACAAAACAAAAAGCACCCCCTAAAATCATGGCATCAATTTTGTTTTTAGACCTGTCCTATATTCCGTGACACCTTGGTGGAGAAAATTATTTTCTCTTTCCCAGGAAATATCAATTTCAAATAGCTTTTGGGGGCTGGGGATCTAGCTCAGTGGTGGAGCACTTGCCTAGCGAGCACAAGGCCCTGGGTTTGAGCTCCAAAGGGGGGCAGTGGGGAGACAAAATAACAGATAGCTTCTTGGTTAGGGTAGGACTTCGCATCCTCTTCTCTGTGCTGAGGTTTTATCTTGTGTGAACTTCTGCAGGTCTGTGAGTACTGTCATAGTCTCTGTGAATTCATACGTGAATTAGCCATGTTGTGCCTAGAGTAGGTTTCCTTGAAGTCATCCACCACATCTGGATCTTTTTTTGTTGTTGTTGTTTTTTGGGTTTTGTTGTTGTTGTTGTTGTTGTTTTTTTTTTTTTTTTTTTTTTGGTTTTTTCGAGACAGCGTTTCTCTGTGGCTTTGGAGGCTGTCCTGGAACTAGCTCTTGTAGACCAGGCTGGCCTCGAACTCACAGAGATCCGCCTGCTTCTGCCTCCCGAGTGCTAGGATTAAAGGCGTGCGCCACCAACGCCCGGCCACATCTGGATCTTATAATCTTTCTGCCCCTTCCACATAGATCCCCGAGCCTTGAAGGGGACTTATTTGTTTTATTTTTTGTGTATGATGTTTTGCCTGCATGTTTGTCTGGTGCCCATGTGACTTTGGAGACCAAAAGAAGATATCAGATCCCCTGGAACTGGAGTTACAGATGGTTGTGGGTGCTAGGAGCTGAACCCCAGTCCTCTGTAAGAGCTCTTACAGCCAAGCCCAGCATGCTCATTTTTTTTAAGATTTTATTTATTTGTATGTGCAGTGTTCAACCTGCATGTGTGCCTACAGGCCAGAAGAGGGCACCAGATCTCACTACAGATGGTTGTGAGCAGCCATGTGGTTGCTGGGAATTGAACTCAGGACCTCTGGAAGAGCACCCAATGCTCTTAACCTCTGAGCCATCTCTCCGGCCCATCAACATGCTCATTTTTAATTCAAAATTTAGACAAATAATGAAGCAAGAGAGTATTAACTTTCCCTAGAATGATTTCTACCTTCCTTGAAGAAATCCCCTACCAAATGATGTTCCTCCAGATTTCTTTCCATTCTTACTCAGACATGCAAACTGACCATCCTAAATGTTAAACTTGCTTTTTCACTTAACAGTATACCTTGGATATCAGTCCCTAAAATGCCCAACAACAAAAAATGGTGTTGTTTTTTTAATATTTTATTTGGAGGGCTGGAGCGATGGCTAAGTGATTAAGAGCACTTGCTACTCTTCCAGAAGATCTGAGTTTTATTCCCAGCACCCATAGTAGGTAGCTCACAACAACCTGTAACTCCAGTTCTAGGGGACACACACACACACACACACACACACACACACACACACACACCATACCCACCTATAATTGAAAGTAAAAAAAAATAAATTATTTTTACTATTATGTATATGGGTGCTTTACCTACATGTATGTCTGTGTACCGTGTACATGCCTGATGCTTGTGAATGCCAGAAGGGGACATCAAATCCTCTTAAAAGACAGTTGTGAGTCACCATGTTAGTTGCTGACAATCAAACCCAGATCCTCTGGAAGAGAATCCAGACCCATTTTTGTTATTTTTAATTATGTGTATGCATGTGTGTCTGTGTGAGAGTATATGATGTGTGCAGATGCCCAAAGAGGTCAGATGTTTCTGATTCCCCTGGTGCTAGGTTATAGACATTTGTCAACCCCAGATATAGGTGCTGGGAACAGAACTTGGGTCCTCTGGCAGAATGGAAAGCCCTCTTAACCACTAAGTCCTCTCTCCAGCCCCCAGTGTCTTGACAGTTTTAATATAATTATATAGCCTATAATTTACTTTTGTATTTTTATTTTATTTTTGCATGTGTTTATACATATTGTGCACGTATGAATACAGAGGCCAAAAGTCAATGTAGGATGTCTTCTTCAGTCACCCCTTCACTCTACTGAGAGAGACATGGTCTCTCCCTGAATCTGGAGCTTGCCAATTTAGCTAGTATGGCAAGCACTTTACCAATTGAACCATTTCTCCAGCCCTAGCCTTAAGTTTAAATAAATCTACTTTTCTTTTTAGTGTCTCATTTTTAATACCACAGACAGTGCTATAGTAAATATCCATATGTGTAAAACACACCCTTAAAGTATTTCTCCAAGAAAACATCTAACAAGAACTGATTATTTAAGGGCTAAATCTGGAGAGCTGTTGTCACACTTGACTCACAAAAGAAAGTCTGCAGGGCCAGTGAGATGGCCCATTAGGTAAGTGCTTGCTCCTAAGCTAAGCCCAATAACCTGAATTCAAGTCCCAGGACCCAAGAGGGAAGGAGGAGTCAACTAGCCCAGTTGTCCTCTGACCTTCACTTGTATGGCATGGCACACACAGTAATGTAATTAAAAATAATATGAAGTCTATAGTTCATGCTCTGACCAACACCATGAAAGAACTTACCAACACTGGCTGTTAGCAAATTTTGGCTCCCATCAATCTGATTAAATCATACCTCAACACACAAAGGCAGAAGCAGGGGGATCTCTATGGTCTGTATAGTGAGTTCCAGGTCAGTTAGTGCTGTGGAATGAGAGTCTGTCTCAAAAGAGCAACAACAAAAAATCAGATCTCAGCAATTTATCGTTGTTTGCTTTGTGTGTTTTTTTGCTCCTGTTAAGGTGTGCATATTTTGAAGTGTTCACTGTCTTGATCCTTCAAACAGTAGCAAGGCATTTTGCAGGTGGTTGAGTTTTCTCTGGATGTGGTTTCCTGGAAGGATGTTGACTGTTTTTACAAACCACAGTAATATGTTTCCTGTATTTGTCATTCACAGCAAACAGCGCCATAACAAACTCTGGAGATCTCATTCAGATAGTGACCTCTCGGACCACCATGAACCCATCTGCAAACCTGGGCTGGAGCTCAACAAGAAGGAGATGACCACTTCAGCAGACCAGATTGCCGAGGTGAAGGCCGTGGAGAACCTTGCAGCCATATCTCCTGTCTTTGTGGAGCATGTGGTTCCACAGGACACAAGTCAGAAAGGGGTTCATACCAAAGAAAGAGTCATCTGCCTGGGGTTTTCTTCACAGGAGTTTCATGCCGGACAGATCGAAGATGAATTAAACTTAAATGACATCAATGGATGTTCATCAGGGTGTTGTCTCAGTGAATCAAAATTCCCTCTTGACAACTGCCATGCATCTAAAGCCTTAATCCAACCTGGACAGGCCTCAGAAATGGCCAACAAGTTCCCAGACTTAACAGTGGAAGATTTGGAGACAGATGCCCTGAAAGCAGACCTGAATGTCCACTTACTGCCAATGGAAGAGTTGACATCTCGACTGAAAGACCTCCCCATGTCACCTGATCTGGAGTCACCAAGCCCCCAACCCAGGTGCCATGCTGCCATGTCCGATTTTAGTACTGATCGTATTGATTTTTTTAGTGCCCTCGAGAAGTTTGTAGAGCTTTCTCAAGAAACCCGGGCTCGATCTTTTTCCCACTCAAGGACAGAAGAGCTAGGCGGAGGAAGGAGTGAGGGTTGTCGCCTGTCAGTGATGGAAGTGGCACCTTCGGAAATGGCAGCTGATGACCAGAGGAGCAGCTCTTTGAGTAATACTCCCCACGCATCTGAGGAATCTTCAGTGGATGAGGACCAGTCAAAGGTAAAACTGCTTTATGTTTCCATGTAATGAAACTCTCACCAAAGAAACTACTGAAGATTCTGCTCTGTTAACTTCTTTGGGCAGGGGTGGGGGTGGGGTTAGGAGCACTGTATCACTGTGCTTTACCGATGGCCCTAGCTTTTTTAAAAAATATATATATGTGTGTGTTGGTGTATTCATATGAGTGGAGGTGCACAAGGAGGTCAGAGGGATGGGATTCCCCCCCCCCAAGCTTGAGTACAGGGGTTTGTGAGCTACACACCATAGGACTGGGAACTGAGCTGTCATCCCCTGTACGTGTTCTTAACCACTGAGTCGTTTCTTCAACCCCTTAACTCACTTTGATGTTAATAAAGATTTCACTAGTAAATAGTGGAACAGTCAAGTTGAGATCTTCCTTTAAAATGTAGGGTGCTTTTTTTTAAGGATTTTATCTTTTCAGGCTTTGGTGTCATTTTAGATTTATTCTATTTTATGTATAAATATCTTGCCTACATGTATATGTGTGTACCACATATATGCCTGGTGCCCACAGACGTCAGAAGAGGGCTTCAGCTCCCCTGGAATTGGAGTTGTAGACAGTTGATTGCCACTGTGTGGGTCCCAGGAATCAAACCCAGGTGGTCTCCAAAAGCAGCAAGTGCCCATAACTGCTGAGCCATCTTTCTACCTCTTGTTGGAGCATTTCTGAAAGGGGCTAACAAAGGAGAGAATTAGCCAAAACAAATGCCCTGACTAAGCAAAGGGAGGTCCTTTCTGTGGACCCCTGGAGCCCAGATCAAATCTCAGCAATGATGAAATGCCACAGAACTGCCTGAGTAAGACCTGTCTCTGAGAAGATGGATTTATCTGAGAAACATTTTATCTCAGAAAGTTTACAAGCTGGACACGTGCAAATGGTTGCTGGAGTAGCAGCAGGTACCCTGCTGAGGTCAGTGATGCTGTTAATAACATTGGTGAATTTATTTCCAGTCCTGTGGTGCTCAAGAATCAGGAGGTTAGAGAGGCTGAATTTGGGAGCAGATATTATCCTAAGATTCTTAAGTAGTTTTGATTTGTTTGTTTTGTTTTTGAAGTCAGGGTTTCTCTGTGTAGCTTTGGCTGTCCTAGAACTCACTCTATAGACCAAACTGGCCTCAAACTCACAGATCTGCCTGCCTCTGCCTCTCAAGTTCTGGGATTAGAAGCATGCATTATCATGCCTGGCAATATATGAATTCTTATGATCCATCTCAGAAGTAGGAAAAATACCTTAGATGATCAAAAAACTTGCTTCGTTTGTTTTGTTTATCTGTTTACTTTGAGACAAGGTCTTAGATTTACTCTAACGTACAAGACTTCCCCTAATGATCTTAATGGACCTGATTATATTTTTGTGATTGATTTTGCAGTCCTGGGGATTGAACACAGGGCCCTGTGCATACCAGGAGAGTGTTTTACCAGCTGCGTTTGGTGCTGACAGCCCTGGTTAGATGCCTGAGAGCTCATGATTTGTACCTTTCTTCATCTATTATTTAACCCAAAGCAACACTTTTCCCTCTCCTGTCTTCTGCCTTGTTGTGTTTCTATGGGAAGCTGAAATGTTTAAGCTCTCTTTATTGACCAGTCAGTGCAATAGCACTGACAGAAATAGCTTCCTACTGAGTCCTTGGTCATATGAGTGCTCCTTCCATGGCCCGTGCACACACCAGGCTCACCAGTTCTCCAAGATCACCTCTGCTTGATGTCCTGGCAGATCTCCCCCAAAGACAAGCCTGACCTTCTTAGTTCATACCAACTGAGACTGTTAGAGGAGAAAGACCTGCACAATTCCTGAGGAAATACTGTGTTTTGAAGTCTTACGTAAAATGTTAACAAAACTGACAATGATGATGCTCTGACTTTAAAGAGAGCCATTTCTAGTTTGTGAAGTTAAATTTTTTGTTTGTTTGCATTGGGACCTGATTTTTTCTGGATTTAGGGGTGTTTGGTCTAAATCTATGGGATTTGCTACCTTGTAAAGAAGTAAAATATCTAAGAATAAGGATTCTAAGGTTGCTGAGGGACATGGCTGAGTTCAAGAAGGAGCCACATGAAATTTAGGGATTATTGCCAGGTACTTGCTTTTAATCAAGTCAGGCGTATCTCTGAGTCCAAGGCTGTGTAATGAGCTCTGTCTCAAAAAAGAGATGGCTTTTAAGTTTATAACACTTGTTGGAGAAGACCTGGGTTCGATTTCTCGCACCTATGTGGTAGCTCACAACTGTTCATAATTCTGTTTCCATAGTACCTAGTGCCCCCTTCTGACCTTTGTAAGCACTAGATATGCATACGGTGCACATGCATGCAGACACATGCCACATCCATACACCACACATAAGACTTAAAAATATGGGGGGCAGGGCTTAAGACAGGCTCTGAACTCAGAGATCTGCCTGCTTCTGCCTCCAGAGTACTGGGATTAAAGGTATGTGCCACCACTGCCCAGCAAGACTTAAAAATCTTAAAAGAGGTGCACTAGTGCCTTTAATCCCAGCAATAGGGAGATAGAGCAGGCAGATCTGTTGAGTTCGAGGCCAGCCTGGTCTACAGAGTGAGTTCCAGGACAGCCAGGGCTACACAGAGAAACCTGTCTAAAAAAAAAAAATCTTAAAAGAAAGAAAATTAGAGATTGTGAGGTCAGATAGTCAGATACAAAGGAAATTCTCCCAGCAGGAGGAACAATGATGTGGGTGGTGTGGTAAAAGCTAATGTGAAAAAGTAGCGAGCAGTTAATCTTCAAATCAGACATCAGATGACTGCCATCTTGCCCTGTCTTATACTGGGCATAGTAAGGTGGCCACCAAGCATTAGAAGTTAATAAACCAGTTAGGAAAGGTTTCATTTACCTTTGTGTGGTCTAAGCCCTAGAGGCCCACAGTACTATGAAATATGGATTATAAATTCCTGGCTGGATTATCAAAGTCCTGGATTAAAATGTTGCTTGAGGGCTGGAGAGGTGGCTCAGAGGTTAAGAGCACTTAACCTCTTCCAGAGGTCCTGAGTTCAATTCCCGGCAACCACATGGTGGCTCACAACCCCCTTGAGTGAGATCTGGTGCCCTCCACTGGCATGCAGGCAGAAGACTGTATATACAATAAATAAATAAAATATCTAAAAAATATTGTTTGAGTAAACAGAACAAAATTTAGTAAACCATGATATGTACCTTATAATGAATTTTCTCCCTCCAGCCTTAGTGATGAATCCTGCTTTGTTGCCATGATCTGACCACATAGTGAACCTATGCACCTATCCATAACTTACGTTCTCATAGATAGACAGATTCTCTTCAATCAGAGGGTTACTAAGTGAAATACTAGCCACAATTTTCCATAATCATCTCACTATTTTCTCTTCTTAGGCAGTTTCAGAACTTGTCAGTCCAGACATCATCATGCAATCTCACTCAGAAAATGCAATTTCAGTCAAAGAAATTGTCACTGAAATTGAGTCCATTAGTCAAGGTGTTGGGCAGACTCAGTTAAAAGGAGACATCCTCCCTAACCCATGCCATACGCCAAAGAAGAACACTGTCCATGAGCTGCCCCCGGAGAGGACACAAGCCCCTGAGAACAAACCTGGACATTTGGAACAGGACGAGAGTTTCTATACAGTCCAGCCTGAACTAACTGAAGACTCAGGGAAGTGCAACCCCGAAGGCTGTGTAGCTGCACACCCATCCACAGTAGACTTGGAAGAAGAAGAACCAGCTGAGGGGGAATATGAGTGGGGCCCAGGGATGCACCCTGGTGCCAAGTGGTGTCCTGGGTCTGTGAAGCGAGCCACCCTGGAGTTTGAAGAGCGCTTGCGACAGGAGCAGGAACACCATGGCACGGCCCCTTCAGGTGGCACATTATCTAATCGCAAAACCTCTAAGAACGACTCTTCTGTGGCAGACCCAATGCCAAAATGGAGAAATGAGGAGACCACCCCAGAACATTGGGAGATGAGCAAGGGGAAAGGGAAACCCTATGGTTCTGAAGCTGGACCACTATCCCAGTGTGAGCATGCCACTGCTCCAGTCGCCGAGCTGCTGGAGACTCATCCCTTACAAGCTCCTCAGGACTGCCTAGGGTCGGATACTGGAACCAAGAAGCAGGAAGAAGACTTGAAGAAGCAGAGGACTATGATTCCAAACCAGGGATGCGAAACCCAGACCATCCCTCTTCCCCTTCCCAAGAGAATAGAAATCATTGAGTACACACAGACAGTTATGTCTCTTGATCACCCTGAGCCAGGAGGTGAAACGGCCTCCAGCAAAGAGGGTGAGAATCAGGGACTGAGGAAGGTGAAGATGGAGAGGCCTGTCACTAGGTTCTGTGCCCTGGATGAAAATCTGAACAGGACTCTGGACCCCAGCCAGGTCCCTCTACATCCCCAAGTGCTACCTCTGCCTCACTCTAACTCTGACTACGACAGACTCACTGACCTGACCCCCATGCTAAGTAGCCCTGAAGACAAGGGAAACAGCCCTTCAACACCCTTTGAGAAAGCAGCTCCTTTGGTCAGTACCCAAATAGCGTCTGTCAGTTTGGATTACCTGCATCCCCAGTCTGTGGTTCACCTGGAAGGCTGCACAGAGGAGAGCAGCACCACGGGCAGTGAGCCATCAGCAGAACAGGTTAGCTGGGAAGACGGCCAGGAGGGCTTCCTTGGCAGTGGAATGGCACACAAGTTCTCTCAGTTAAGTAATGAAGACCTAAGTTTAATTAACAAACTTGGTGACAACGGTGGGGTGTCACAGAAAAAACTGGACCTATCACCTGAAGCCTGTAGAATCCCACATAGCTCTAGTAGTGAAAATATAAGAAATTTCAGCCACAGCCCTGGTGTGGTGAAGGAGCGTGCTAAAGAAATTGAGTCTCGAGTGACCTTCCAGGCAGGGCTCACCAAAACATCACAAATGAGGCGCTCGGCTTCACTTGCCAAGTTGGGTTACCTGGATCTTTGTAAAGACTACTTAGCGGAGAGAGAGCTGGTCTCTCCGGAATCCCCTCATCTTAAATTGCTTCAGCCCTTCATCAGAACAGACTCAGGCATGCATGCCTTGATGACCCAGGAGCCCTCTGAAAGCCCTGATGCCCACCAAAACCCACAACCCACCAAGTACTTTGTAGAGCAACTCAAAACAACAGAGTGCATTGTGCAGAGCAAGCCAGTAGAGAAGCCCCTTGTGCAGTATGCCAAAGAATTTGGGTACAGCCAGCAGTGTTTGCTCCCCAAGGCAAGAGCAGAATTGACTAGTTCTGAAGTAGGCCTTCCTTTGCTACAGACACAGGGTCTACAGTGTACAGGCCCCACTCCAGGGCTGGCCGTGGCACCCCGCCAGCAACATGGCAGAACTCACCCGCTTAGGAGACTGAAAAGAGCAAATGATAAAAAACGGACAACCAACCCCTTCTATAACACCATGTGATCTTGAGCCCACATACATGACTTTCTAAGAGAAACATTTGTAAAGGGGCGGTGTAATATGTAAGGAACATGCACTTTATTGGTTAATTTTATAATATTTTGGTCATTTTACTGTTCCTGGCTCATGCGGGGTTTGGGTTGATTTTTCCGTGTGTGTGTGTGTGTGTGTGTGTGTGTGTGTGTGTGTGTGTGTGTGTGTGTGTTTACTGATTTGAGTGGCAAGATCATTTTATCATTTTTTATTTTTAAAAAAATTCAAACCTCAAAATTTTTTTCAAAGAGCACCTTTATCAAAGGCAGATTGCTGTTTTTCAATCCCCTGCCGCTGTCTTTCTCATTTTGCCCCCTGAGAAAAGACACGCCTGCTTGACTGAGGGAAAGAAACAGAGGGTAGGGGCACTGAGGTTAGGAACTGGAGATGGCTCAGCCAGGCCTGAGGCGGCCTGCCCACTGAGGGTAGAGGGAGGTTGCTGCTCCCAGCTTCCCTCTCCAGCCCTTCTTTGGAGTTCATGAAGTTGCAGGGTTTGCTCTGCCATAAGAGGCAGTTGAGACTCCATTTCTTCTGGTATCCCAGAACATATCAATCATTACGAAAAGGGGATGGATGATTGGCCTAGATAGATAGAATTCTAGATAGCAAATAGCTTTCCCCAAGAGAACAGTCTGAAATCTAAGGGAACCCTAAGCAAAGCTCATGGTCATCTGTAAGAAAGCCGTTAAGAGAGGAGGTTGAAGGCAACAGTGGAAAAGCAGCTGCTGAGTGACTCCTGGGTCAGTGGAGGCCACACAGAAGGGGCCCTCTGCCAGGTGACATGTTGCCACAGCCTCCCAACTTAAGTCCTGGAAACAGGCTTGAAAAACAGCAAAGCCGGTGTGTTCTTGTAAAATGAATATGTATGTGGGTTTTAACCCTTCCGTTACTTGAATATCCTGTGGGCCTTCTGACTTTAATGGCCATACTTTTCCAATTCATTTTCTTCTCTCTTGCTGTTTTCCCTATCCTGCCCCTCTCTTACTTTCACAAGTTATATTTTAATTGTTACATTACGTACATATATTGAACACAATTTTCTATGTTATCCTTGTTAACGCTTGACATAAGTTGTTTTTTCCCCTCATTTTCCTAGAAGGTTTGTCTTTTATTTACAGTTCATACTCAGTATTTATGTACATAATGTCACTTCTTTAATGTTTTATTGTTGATATTGTGGGGTCTTTTTTTTTCTTTTTTCTTTTTTTTCTTTTTGGTTTATTCTTTTCAAGGAGTAGAGTTGCAGCTGGAGAAAAGAGACACCAGAAATAAGCTGATCATTGTTGATAGAAGTCTACGCAGTATATTGATGGTGACTTTAATTGTTTTCAGTGGAAACTTCTAATTTTGCCAGCTCCTGCCAAATTATGCACTTCCTTTTCAGAAGCCCCTACAGGCTCCCATTAGATCACCCTGAATGCCGAAGTCCCAGTCAATTGTTTGCAGAATTGAAGCACAGCCAGGCAATGTGTGTGCATTGCCCAAAGTAGCCTCCTAGTGGGACTGAGACGTGGGAGCCGCTCAGCCAAGGGCACAAATTGCATTTAGGGTACCATTGCTTTTTGCTGTTGTGATGACCTTTAACACTGGAGGACCTGCTGTAAATAAACCTCTGAGAGTCTTACAGAAAATATCTAGCCTGAAATGAAATAACCCACCACAGCTCATCAAAACTGAAAGGCCCACAAGTTTGCTTCCTGCTTGCTTTTGTGGGTGTCCGCATTGCTCAGGGTTGTGTAGGTAAAGCCGGGGTCTTCGGTTTTTAATTCAGCACAGCCCTAAGAGAAAGAAGACATACAGATTGTCACCAGAGACAGAATTTGGAGGGAACATGTAGTAAGATACAGAAAGGGGAAATTGGGGTCACTTTTCAAGTTTTCCAGAGCTGTGGGTCCAATTGCCATACTAAAGTCATGGTTGGGTATGATGTCTGTCACTGCCAGGAAGACGTTAGAGGCCAACTGTGGAAAGTGTGATGTAGAAGTTATATGTATCTGTGCTGTCTTTGGTAGTTTCTCTAAGTGTCACAGCTTGTGAGTCCGGATGTTTATGTGTTGCCTCATTACGTCATGTGTAGCGTGGGAGGCAAGGTGGTGGATTCCAGAGCTCATCTACTAAAGAGCCCTATCTACCAGTATGATGGGAGGACAGGAAATTATGATAGAGTGAGGAGTATTCGCATGGAGTTTGAGTGGCAACACCAAAAAGTAATAATAAAAGCTGGGTATAGTGGCTCACATCTGTAATCCCAGCACTGAGACTGAGGCAGGAGGGTCACTGTGAGTTGGAGGCCAGCTTAGGCGACAGAGTGAGACCCTGTCTTAAAAAAGTGACATCTATATGCCACTCATCATCAGCAATGGACTGAGAGAAACGCCCTGCTTTGTGGGTGTAGGGAGAGGATAGCCATTTGTGTTTAAAGAATGGGAGAAACCATCTTGTGCTGTCTTCCTTCTTAATTACACTCTTACCATTTAACTCACCTGCCTAAGCATCTTACACAGGGTCTGTAATTCAGCTATGCCAAAGGCTCTTGCCAGCCCTCCCAAACCCCCACATTTGGGTGTTCTTAAGTCATGTTCGTGGCTAAGGCAGGTACATAATAAACTGTTGAGGACTTTTTTTTTTTACTTCAAGTTATGATGATTTCAAATTGCCTGTTTGCCTTTTCTATTCTGGGAAAGCCTAAACCTGACTGGTGAACAGCTAAGCAGGAAAAACCTGACCTCTTGACTATTACTTCACCTCCTGCCCAATGTCTCTCTGTCTTTACTGTTTTCAAAACCACTGCAGTCCTGTCAGTGGCCATGGAAGAGTGTGTGAGCACACATGGGAGCACATCAATAGGATAAGCTGACATTTCCATGCCTGGGATAACTGCCGAGGAGCAGACAGGACTGGAGCCGTAGTCTGGGTGGGCCTGGGGAGTAGGAGAGGGTCCCAGCCAACTGCTGGCTTTTAGAAACAGTAGCAATGGATGGTGTTGGCACGGGACAGTAGGGGGCACTCACATCTTACTTTGGTTGCTTCTTGTTCTTTTAAACACATTCGCCCCTGCATCCTTACCTCTTCAGGATCTTACGTGTTTTCCTGCTCTGTACCTTTGTCTCTGCTGCTGTTTCCTTCTTTCTCCCTTTGGGAACTACCAAGAGCTCCAGGTACAGCCTGGGAATCCATCTAAGGGAGTGTTCTAAGGCCTCCTGCTCCTGAGCCCAGATGCCTCATCTGAAAAGCCTCAGACGCTGCAACTCAAAGAGTCTTCACCTGAGGATTTCATTTAGTAACGATATTCTGTAGGAGTTGAGTTTTTTTTCTAAGAAAGCATTATGCAAAAAGTTTTAAGGGCATTTTAAAGAAAAGCCACTTTTTGGCTTTTTCAAACTGTTTGTGGATACTTTGTTTACTTTGTGAGTATTAAAATATGCATCATCTTGGTGGCCACTCAGGCACTGAAGCCATGGCTGTCCTGTGAATCCTCCCCCCAGAGAAATGCCATATTATTGTCAGCCCCTGTGGATAAGTGGGTCAGATGTGTCTGATCTCCATCTGTGTTCTGCACTCTCATCCAGCAGTCGTTTTCCTCAGTGCTGGTGTGTCTCCATAGTGATGGTCGTGATGGTGAATGGCTAGTATGGTGGTTTTATTTTCAATTTCTGATGGTAGACAAGGTGACATTTTCATTGTTTCAGTACCAATCCAACTTAAAGTACCATGGACATTGTTTCTCTTCCAAACTAAAAGATCAAGCATGTACTGGACATAAGTGTATATGTTGCCTCGACTCATCTGGCACCCATATTAGGAAGAGGCCTGCCACCAAAGCAGGAAGCTGCACACTCCTTTCCCCCAGGCTTTGGGATTTCTCGATGCCATGGAGAGCTATTGCAAGGTGCTTCTGTACTGCTCCAGCCTGAAGTGGAGGTGACTAGGCCTGGCTTCTGCTATGAAGAGAACCAGCCTCATCTCAGTGTCCCAGAGATCTAGGATAGGGTTTCTAAACTGGAATCATCCCTTATCAGCTTGAAGACACCACACCCCCAGAGGTATACAGCTGGTGCTGCCATCTGTCTCCACAGCGATGCTGGTGGCAGTGTCCTGCCTACAGAGAGCTGATATCCCAAATGGAAAACCGAGGAACTGACCTAATGTTTCCTAGTCAGTAAGCCCACTGGGAATTGTTTGGTTTTATGTTTTATTGATTGTGATTTGTTTGGCATAGATAAAGGTGCCTTCCTCCCCCCCTTTTTTTAAATTTTGTTTTGTAAGACTTGTTCAAAACACAAACAAGTCCAAAAGACTCGCACTGACTGTTACCTTTGCCCAGGCTACCCCAAACTTCTATGCTCTCGTCTTATTAAATAAAAGCAGGTGCTCCCTGGAATCTCTGGGACCTTTCTGAGGCATTTAAAGCAGAATATAGAGTGGTCTCATCTCCTTCCTTATCTTCCTGGTGGTTGGGATGTCCCACTTGTATCATAGTTGTTTTTATTATTACTGATGTGCTCCGCTGTTTTTAAATGTGAACTTGTGCGCAGATGTGCAGATTCAATGTTCTTGTTACAGATTGAATAAATTTTTATTTTGAAGACAAAATGTGTGCTTCACATGCGACAAGAGAGGAGGGTACTGGGGAAGGCGGAGGGTTAGAAGAGGACAAGCAAGAGCACTCACAGACCCCAGTCCAGCACACACTGGGTGGGGAAGAGCTATATGCACACAGGCACACATTTGTTTAATTGTGATGTATATAATTTACCTTACACAAAAGACAGATTAGGAAATGGGGTACCAACAATTGCAGACAATGAGGTGGGGCTCCAATCAAGTGACCAGGCTGGAAACTTGGCTAGTCAAAGAGGCACTCACCAAAGCTGAATGTTAGAATGAATAAGCAAAACCCTTCCACCGTCTGTAGTACAGAGTGACTGGTGTGGGACATCTGTGGTGACCTGCCCAGCAGTGGCTGGATTTTTTGAGTGAGTGACCTCACTGGCCATTAATACAAGTATTCAGCACAGTGAAATCTACACTGGGCTGGAGAGATGGTTGAAGGGTAAGAATGCACATTGTTCTTCCAGAGGCCCTGAGTTTGATTTTCAGCACTCACAACTCCCTCTAACTCCAGCCTCAAGGGATCTATTGCCACTCTCCTCCACAGACACCCATGCCTATCTGCACCCCCCACATACACATAACTAAAAATAATTTTAATAGACATCAATGGCTGCCGGGCGTTGGTGGCGCACGCCTTTAATCCCAGCACTCGGGAGGCAGAGACAGGCGGATCTTTGTGAGTTCAAGACCAGCCTGGTCTATAAGAGCTAGTTCCAGGACAGCCTCCAAAGCCACAGAGAAACCCTGTCTCGAAAAACCAAAAAAACAAAAAAAATAGACATCAATGGTACAATGGGTATATCTGGCTAGGCCCCCACTTCTGCCTTTCCACAAATGCATGATGCAATGTTTAATGGTATTATTCATCACATCCAAAAGAGCACGCCTATCTAGGGAAGGCTCAGCTATCACATACCCAATTGCCAACCAAACTTGCTGCTGATGTTTCCAAACAAAACTCCAGCCTACTTCTTTCGGAATCAGGCAAGTCAGGTGAGTGGCACACCACTGTTCTCTAGTGAGTGTATGTGATGAGGGAGGCAGTCATTTCACAAACTATTCCAGGAGTGCTCGGGCTTCCAACCAACTACAACATGTCAGTCTTGGCTCTGTAGGCAAAGCAAATGGACCAAACCAGGTGTCAATTATCAGGTCTCTCAGAAAATGAGATGATGAAATGAAATACCCAGTAGCCTCGTGGACTGCAGTTCAGAGCCCACTGACAGTTCTGTGGGGTCACCACGCCCAAGTGGCTTCTTCCCCTGACTGATGTCTTGTTTTTAGCTTTATATGTGTGGGTGTTTTGACTGCATGTATGTTGGTGCACCAATGTGTGTCTGGTAACTGTGGAAGCTAGAAGAGGGTGTTGGATCCCCAAGAACTGGAGTTATACATGGTTGTGAGCTGCTGTGTGAGTTCTGGGAACCAAACTTGGAATACCACAATGTTAATGAGTATAGATCCCCCCAGAACAATGTGAGTTATTATCATCATAAAGGAGCAACTAGTCACTTGAGTCTTGTCTGCCCAACCAATCCCTGGAATCTTAAGGTAAAATCCATGGTTACACACACACACACACACACACACACACACACACACACGAGAGAGAGAGAGAGAGAGAGAGAGAGAGAGAGAGAGAGAGAGAGGTCATCAGTTATCTCTGGTTCTGTTCCTGTACGAGCCACTGAATACATAGTCCCCTCCTGAAAAAGACACCTATAGGCACCCTCATGCGTTCTCTGTCATTCTCTCTCTCTCTCTCTCTGTCTCTCTCGTCTCTGTCTCTGTCTCTCTCTCTCTCTCTCTCTCTCTGCTTCCCTCCCTCCCCCTGCCATACAGAAGACTGATTCTATGTGCCACCCCATACTGCCCTCCAGGACCTAAGATGGGAGGGAAGAAAATCATGAAATCATGGGCAGTCTTTGAGTAAACAGCAACTCCAGGAACTAACTGCTCTTCACTGGCTGTATTTTATCTCCTTGACCTTGAGCAGTAAGTGCTTCAGTCCTGTAGGTCTTGGGAGTGAGGGAATGCTGCCCTAGAAAAGAAAGACTGTCTCCAACAAAGGCCCTCATCCTCACAGCTGGTTCCTCTGACCTCTAAAATGTGGCCAAATATCTCTGCCAGCCCTTCCCCCTTGTACCTGGTGCTGGGAGTGAGTTCACTTTTCTCTGCCTGGTCTCTGAGCTTCCTGCTTCTCGCCATGCTCCATAGAACCTTCTAATAGGGTGAGACACCCATACCGGTACCAAAGTTCTCAAACGATCGATCGCTATTGCTATTAATAAAAGTCATAGCCTCGCAGTTGCCCTGAGCCAGCCTAGAGACTGAGACGATTCTCCCAGAGCATCTTCTGGGGCCTCTTCCCAGCGGGTCCTGGCTGTGAAGTCCCACAACCCCGCCCTCTGGGAACGACTAAATTAGCTGTGCGATTGCGGCAAGAATGCGGCGCTCAGGCACCTGATCACTCGAGGTGGCTCCCAGTCTCGGTGTCCCGCTTTGGGCGGAGCGCCTGGACCTCCTGAACCTACGTACGAGGGGCGGAGGGAGACGCGGGGCACGCCCACCCCTCAAGCGCGCGCACACACTTGCTTTCCCCATTTGACAGGGGCAGGCCAAGTTGAGAAGCAGGACTTTCCCGCGCTGGACAGGGCGTGGCCGCTTTGGCCTGGCCCTGCCCCCGCCGTCCGGCCCCGCCCCCTCAGGTTGATGGCAGCAGCAGCTGGGGCTGCAGTGGAGCCGGCAGCTGAGAGCCGCAGGCAGCGGCCGGAACGCGCGACCCAGTGCCTGGCCCCGGACGCGCCAACGCCTCCCTCGGCCCTCGGCAGAAGAGTCGCTGAGAGAGCACCCCCGCCCGGCTTAGGACCAGGTACCCCCCTCCCCGCCTCCGCCACCGCAGCCCACGGAGCGGGCGGGGTCTCTGGAGGGGGCAGAGGTCTGCGCGCCCCCCCTCCACGCCGCTAAATTCGGTCCGGCGGGGCGGACTTGGTGTCTATATTTGGCCGGACAGCGGCTAGCGAGGAGACACCTAGTCTCACAAGAACGCACTGCCCGGGCAGGAAGCTAGAGGAGGGTGCGGGTAGGCCGGGCTTCAGGCCTGGGGCCGCAGGAGCGTTTGAAGGGCACAGGGATGCCCCGGCTGGGGAGGGGCAGGAAGCAGTTGGCTTTGGAGAGCCTGGTGTGTCCCCTTGGGAGAAGTAGCATAGCTGAGGTCCTAGCTCCAGAAAAGGGGCCTCACCTCCTCACTGGTGCACATCTGGACCTTGCCGATGGGGTCGACGGCCCCCACTCTCAGGAGAACCTACTAGAAGATCCAGCACAGGCACGGGCAACGCACCCAAAGAAGCCGAACTAAAAGTGTGATATTCGCGTCAGGTGACCATAGTCTGGCCTCTCGGAGAAGCCTGTGCATGGTGGAATGGACATACGCTGCCCACTCCCACACATCCCCCCGCCACGGGAGGAAACGGGTGAAAACAGTGGAGACAGGCTACTAACAGGCTAACAGGAGAAACGTTTCTCTTGGCAATTTAGCGGCAAATTTGTAGGAAAAGACACGTGTGCCTGAACTGTGCCAGAGACGAGAGTTTGCCATCTTGAGGGCTGGAGTCCTGGTGCCACAACTAACCTGGAACTGAGGTCCGGTGACTACTAAAAGAGAGCGCGTTGAGCAGGGTGTCTCTAGGAGGGACAAACACTTGCTCACCCATGGCCAGCAGCTAGAGGGGACCCACTGATATTGCTCCTCAAAACAGTCCGTCTCCCAGGAAGTTTCAACCCTATTTCAGCCTCCATTAACCCCCTAGCCTGTGTGTCTAAGAAGAGGTCTGATTCCCCATCCTAGCCCCTCAAATTAAACATTTGACAGGTGACAAAAATCTGCCTCCTACTTTGGTCACTTTGAAGGAAGCTCTCTGGTCCTCACCAGATAATTCTACTCACTTACTCCTCCCTCCCACAGTTCACCGGATTAAGGACCAACGTGCTTCTAGACTCTGACACCCCTATATTTGCCCCAGCCATGAGCCGGCGAGTGGTTCGGCAAAGCAAGTTCCGCCATGTGTTTGGCCAGGCAGCAAAGGCCGACCAGGCCTATGAGGACATCCGAGTATCCAAGGTCACATGGGACAGTGCCTTCTGTGCCGTCAACCCCAAATTTCTGGCCATTATTGTGGAGGCTGGAGGTGGAGGTGCCTTCATTGTCCTGCCCCTGGCCAAGGTGAGGGGTAAGGGGTGAGAGGTAAGGGGAAGGAAGCCACGAGAGGGCACAGGCGGCACCTCTGGGTAATCCCACAGTAGCCTTTTCTCACTGAAATCCAGTCAGGAGGGCGGTCTGTGTGAACTGGCTGATCTCCCCTCCCCCTTCCCTGAACAGCAACAAGGGGGAGGGGGCTGTGCTCACGCTCTAGGCCATGCAGCCCCTGTTCCCAACTGGGACCGAGATGGGAGTTAGATGGTTGGGGTGCAGCAGAGCCAAGCAGTCAGAATCTGACCTTATTTCTCCCTAGTGTGTGAGAGAGGGAGTGTGTGTCAGGTTCTGGTTCTGGTAGTGGGGTAGAAAGGGGAAAAATACATAAAGCCAAAGTCTTCCTTTGCATACTAGGAGAAGGGACCAGGCAATGACTGCCACTTTTGCAGACACTTAGCCATCTCTACCCCAAAGCATAACCTTGACCTAGGTGCTGACACCTTGCTAGAGGAGGCCCCATAAGTGGCAGGGCCAGGAAGAGACCTGACAATAGCCTATGACTCACCCAGGACAAAGCAGACACCATCCAAAGACACCATCCCAAGGGCTCAGATTTCAGCGACGGCCACCTCCTCCCCAGCGTGACTGCCATTTCAATGCCATTTAGCCACCCTCTCTCCCAGACTGCATGGTCTGGGCCAGCGCCAACCCCTGCAGAGTCTTCATAGCTCCCAAGATCACCTCATGAGGACAAAAAGTGGATCTCCAGCCCTGGCTAAGGCTTGCCGGCTTGAGGTTCCAAGTGAAGCCAAGGGAAAGATACCCTCCAGGGGCTAGGACACCGCACTCAGGGTTGCCCACTTCAACCTCTGCTAGGAGCTTCCCACAGATATCCCAACTCGGCTTAAAGTACAGCCTCCTCCCAGGGTGTGCAGGTACTTGCCTGTGAGCCCAGCACTGAGAAGCCCAAGACAAGACAAGCATAGGCTAATAAACATAATGGGAGCTTATATTTAAAAACAAAAATGCTCTACCTGTCTCTGGGTTCTAGTGTCTTGCTGTGGGTCTTTTGTTAAGTCACTATGTCTCTCTGATCATATTTCCTTATACAAATGATTTCACTCTGTGCAAGTTCAGCAAAGTCCAAAGAGTGAACGAGATAGGGTTAGAGGCTAAGAGAGGTCTGCAACAACAACAACAAAGTAATATACAGAATCTACAGTAAACAAATCCAGTGCCCACTCCAAAACCACATACAGGAGGGCCTGGGAACGCAGCTGTGGTTGAGCATTTACTTAGCAAGTGCCAGCCAGGTCCCAGTGCGTGCACATGCATGTATGTGCACGCACGGGCATGCACACACACACACACAAATGTGGTTCCACATCTCCCTCTCTGACCCCTCCAGACAGGACGAGTGGATAAGAACTACCCGCTGGTCACTGGGCACACTGGTCCCGTGCTGGACATTGACTGGTGCCCACACAATGACAATGTCATCGCCAGTGCCTCAGACGACACCACTGTCATGGTAGGAGCCAGGTGGATGCTGCCAGGCTGGAGGGGGAGTAGGGGGTGCCTCACCTGTACTGGGGGAGGTGATAGATGGGGCAGGCACCAGGAGCTCTGCCCTGCCAGTTCCCAGATATTTTTAGTTAAATACATACCCACTCCCACCCAGAATGCACTGGCTAGAACTAATTATAACCTTGGACAAGCTGGGACCCAAAGAACAGACGTACAACACTCTGAAATCTTCCTGACGAAGTGAACGGGGAGGTCTCTGGAGAGCTGGCAGTGCCCCCTGCTTCTCTGTCCTGGCACCACCACGCCTTGTCCTGTATTTGATTGACACCACTCAAGAGGGCCAACAGCACTGAGGGGGCGGAGCCATCCCTGTATCCCACCTACTTGTTGCCTTTTCTTCCTACCCAGGTGTGGCAGATTCCAGACTACACCCCGGTGCGCAACATCACTGAACCTGTCATCACCCTCGAGGGCCACTCCAAGCGTGTGGGCATCCTCTCTTGGCACCCCACAGCCAGGAATGTCCTGCTCAGTGCAGGTCTGGGGCTGTTTAAGATGGATCCCTCCTATACATGAGGGTGGGCGTGAGGAAGGCGGGGCCCAGGTGACCATGCCTGGACACTCTGGACAGGTGGTGATAATGTGATCATCATCTGGAATGTGGGCACTGGGGAGGTACTGCTGAGCCTGGACGACATACACCCTGACGTCATCCACAGTGTGTGTTGGAACAGCAATGGTAGCCTGCTAGCCACTACCTGCAAGGACAAGACCCTGCGAATCATTGACCCCCGGAAGAGTCAAGTGGTTGCGGTGAGTGCCTGGCCTGGCTACTCCCTAGCACCCCTTGCTCAACACCAGCTGTTAGCACCTGATACCCACTGTCATCAGAGCCTCTGGTCCCAGATGTTACCTGCCCCATCCGTACTCCAGAGATTAGTCATGGCCACCCTCCTCCCCGCACCCCCTGCAGCCTTTACAGCCTCAGCCCCTGCCCTGAGCAAGCTCTTAGACTGCAACCCTCTGCCTGCTCCTGTTCATTCCCCTCCCGTGCATCTCAGAGCTCCCAGGAGGGCTCCTTGCTTTTAGATTAAGGGGAGAAGCTGGAAACTCCATCCTCCAAGCACAACCTGCATGAAACCTGAGCTCCAGGACCCTCTCCTCTCAGACATCCAACACCATCTTCAGGGTGTGGTGCCTGACCACCGGCTGACCCCCTTCACACCCGCTGACCCACTGGGTGGGGAATGAAACAATCCTCAAGCATTGCTTGTCCCAGCTGGGTGCCTGGGTGGGTGATGACTCTGTCCCCCAGTCCTGGTCAGCCTCTAACCTGGGGTGTGCGGGTGAGGGACATGCATGTTTGCCTGGAGTGCGGCAGGGAGCCGGGCGCGAGGGCAGGTAGTCTAACCCACTAACCCTGCGAGCAGGAGCGAGCCCGGCCTCACGAGGGCGCCCGCCCGCTGCGGGCCGTCTTCACCGCAGACGGGAAGCTGCTCAGCACCGGCTTCAGCAGGATGAGTGAGCGGCAAGTCGCACTCTGGGACCCGGTAGGCCAGGCCGAGCTGTTGTAATGGCTCGCTTTGCAGGGTCAGCCGGGAGCACCCTCCTGAGCGGTGACCCGGCCCAAGAGGTACAAGCGGATCACAGGGCTCCCTTGTGGGTAAAGCCCCACTCTAATCCCAGGAAGCCAGTAGACATCACCTGCTCCAGGGATCAGCCTTTGAGGGTGCCTAAGATCTGGGACCTACTGAGAGCTCCACACCTCCTGCTCGGTCCCCCCCCCCCCGATGTTCTCCGAGCCAGGGTCCTGCCACTGACCTCCGTGAAGCCTCGTTCTTAGGACCCCTTCCCCCACGCCCATCCCACACTCAGGTTGGCAAGGTGGTTGTTCAGATCTCAGGCTTCCCCAAAGGTGATGCGCTTCCCTTCTCCCCTTCCCCCCCAGGAGAGGTTTGCAGCCCACGAGGGGATGAGGCCCATGCGGGCTGTCTTCACGCGGCTGGGTCACATCTTCACCACGGGATTTACCCGCATGAGCCAGCGAGAGCTAGGCCTGTGGGACCCGGTAACACAGCTGGAGGCTTGGGGTGTGTGCCCCGGGGACTGGCATCACGGGCGAGGGGCCAGGTGCCCCGCACCCCCAGGGTGTGCCCATTCTGACAGGGCTGAAGGTTGCTGCCGCTTCACACCCGACACTGCCCAGTTTTGCCGCGTCGCCTGAAGGAGCTCGCGCTGGCGCCCCCTCCTGGTGATGCCTAGTCCCTGGGGGTGGTTTGCTGTGGCTGCATGCAACCGCACAGGGTGTGCTAGAGCGAGAGAAAGGCAATAAGTCTAGGAAAAGAGAGCCTATACCTCTCACCAAAACTGCCTTGGGCACGCATGGGATTTTGAGTGGGTATACAGCAAATTCTGAAGCATCCCGGGAGGATGAGCAGGGCTGGTCACTCTTCCTGTCATCGGCAGAACAACTTTGAAGAGCCAGTGGCCCTACAGGAGATGGACACAAGCAATGGAGTGCTACTGCCGTTCTATGATCCTGACTCCAGCATTGTCTACTTGTGTGGCAAGGTGCTGGAGGCTGGACGGGAAGGACCAGGGCCAGAATGAGACGTGAGGGCCCTGTCTGGCCATGCTTCTGAATTGCCTGATTTTGCAGGGTGACAGTAGCATTCGGTACTTTGAAATCACGGACGAACCACCGTTTGTGCATTATCTGAACACTTTCAGCAGCAAAGAGCCGCAACGGGGCATGGGTTTCATGCCCAAGCGGGGACTGGATGTCAGCAAATGTGAAATCGCCAGGTCAGCACATCAGTCCCTTCTAGCCCTCTGCCTCTGTTCCTCATGTCAACTCTTGCTCTCCACACCTTCCCCCAATTGTGCTACTCTTTGGGAAAGAGAAGGAAGCCATAGTAGTCTTTTTAGAGACTGCCCCAGCACCCACTAGCCTGACGTTCTACCAGGGGTGTTCTTTTTTTGTTTGTTTGTTTTTTTTTGTTTTTTTTGTTTTTCGAGACAGGGTTTCTCTGTGGCTTTGGAGGCTGTCCTGGAACTCGCTTGGTAGTCCAGGCTGGTCTCGAACTCACAGAGATCCGCCTGCCTCTGCCTCCCGAGTGCTGGGATTAAAGGCGTGCACCACCAACGCCCGGCTACCAGGGGCGTTCTAACCCAAGACTGAAGATGTATGCAAAGTTCCATGTGCATGGTAGTTACTTAGCGTATTGGTTTCCAACTCCTTAGTCCCAGACATGGGGCTTTTAAAAGACCCGAGAGACAGCAAGAGTGTTGAATCTCCCCCCCCCACACACACATACCTCATAGGTTCTACAAGTTACACGAACGAAAGTGTGAACCCATCGTCATGACTGTACCTCGAAAGGTAAGGAAGAAGTTTGGCAGGGAGTTGGTTGGAAAGTATCAAAGGCAGCCATCCAGTGCCCAGCTCACACCAGCCCTCCTGTCCACCCCACCCCTCAGTCGGACCTGTTCCAGGATGACCTATACCCAGACACGCCCGGCCCTGAGCCAGCCCTGGAAGCAGATGAATGGCTATCGGGTCAGGATGCAGAACCTGTTCTAATTTCGCTGAAGGAAGGCTACGTACCCCCCAAACACCGCGAGCTCCGGATCACCAAGCGCAACATTCTAGATGTGCGTCCACCAGCCGGTCCCCGGCGCAGCCAGTCAGCCAGCGAAGCCCCCTTGTCGGTAAGCTCTAAGATCTGACCCGCTCCACCCTAGCTCTACCCCCTACGTCCTGCTCTCTGCCATGGTCTCCTCTGCCCCCACATATCAGCAGCAGCACACCCTGGAGACACTGCTGGAGGAGATCAAGGCCCTTCGCGAGCGGGTGCAAGCCCAGGAGGAGCGCATAACGGCTTTGGAAAACATGCTGTGTGAGCTGGTGGATGGCACGGACTAGCGCTGCATATGTGCCGCAAAAGCTCTGCACGCTGCAGACCAGATGGAGCAGGGCGCACAGACTGGCAGCACTGGCTTTTGGTCTGGGACTCTGCACCCTGCTGCCTGGGGTTGGGATTAGGGGGCGAGACCAGAAAAGAAACTCCCGTCCCTCATAGGCCTGGACACACCTATCCTAAGTGGCAAGGACTGAGCTCCTACCAAGTCCCCGATTTTTCGGTATCAGGCCTAGAGGGAGCTTAGGATAAAGCCGGCCTTCGCAATGGTGCTTAGGGGTGAGATGATGTCCTTCGCAATCCCTTACCCTGGGCGGGGGAAGTGCTTAGTGTGTTGTCTGGGAATACTGCCAGCTTGGGCTTGACCCCAGGCAGATGGAAAGTCAACAGGTATCCCCAGAGTCTCAGGAAAGTCCCTGCATTTCCCCTAATGAGCTCACTTCGTTTCCCCTACAGTGTGTGGGGACAGATGGCAGCACCCCTTTCTGTTGCTGACAGAGCCTGGCCCCACTGGCTTTAGCCATCCATCTATGGCAAAGGGCTCTCCCTTCTTCCCCTTCCAGAGATGGCAGCTTCTTGGAGACAGATCCCACCAGAGAAATCTCAGAACTGGCATAAGGAAGCAGCTCTCTCTCTCTCTCTCTCTCTCTCTCTCTCTCTCTCACACACACACACACACACACACACACACACACACACAGAGCACTCTGCTGAATCTGTAAAGATACTGAGGCACACTTAATGAAATGTTTTACTAAGTACAGGTCTGTGCCTCCTGCTTAGATGGCTGGGGACTCCCTCCAATGGCTTTTGGGGATCCTGGGGAACCTAGCAAATGCACACTGGGCTGAGGACCTGCCAGGCAGCTTCTCACCCTAGGTCAACCATTTTTGCATTGAGGTTCCAAAGACCATGCCTCCCACCCACCCTAGGAACCCCTTCTCAATCAAGTTAGGGAGAAAAGCCTCTGGTTTGAAACCTCTTTATTTGTGCCTCAGAATCAGTCTGGTGCCCCTGGCATCAGGGAAGGAAATAGGAAGAACAGCTTCACTTTGTCGCTATTTTCTTGTCCCCCTTTTGTGCCCCTTCTGAGCCCCTGGCAGAGAAGCCAGCCAGAAGGTGGCCCCAGGACAAAGGTGTGCGCGGCCCCTGCGGGGGGGGGGGACTGTGCTTCTTTAGGTGGGTAGGGCGAACAGGGAGAGCCGGGGTTAGCACCATTGGATAAAGGGTGTTAGTCAGCCCCTGAATGGGGGCAAGAGGGGTCACAACCACAGAGGGCTAGCAGCAGCTGAGAGGAAGGGACGGGTGGTGACAGTGGTACCAGGGCCCTGATCAATGCCTTTGTGTCGGGTCTAGTGCTTGCCCCCAAGCCAATATGCTGCCCCCACTCCCCAAGGCACCATGAGGGAACCAGGCCTTGCCCAGACTGGGGGCACCTTGGACACACTCCCTGATCACAATAAAAACGTGCTGTGGGCATGGGGACTCCATTTTCTGGCTGCCTAAGGAGAAGCTGGGACCACCCTGAGACACAGGACAGGTGGGGGAGCTGGGGGAGCTGGGCACCCCGCTAAGTGCACTTGACGCTGAAATGCCGGGGTGGGGAGGGGCTGGGCCCTTGATGTGCTGGTTTGTGTCTGGGACAAAGCAGCGACACAGCACGCAGGGCGATCAGCTGCCTCCCGGGAGAAGAGCTGAGATGCAAAGGCTTTAGGGGCAGTGTCCAGGAGAGGGGTCAGTGAGCAAGAAGGAGGACCAGCCAGAAGGAGCAAGGGACAGGACAATGCTCCTCTCAAGGATTCATTTCCTTTTCAATACCACCTGTCTCCGCCCTTGGACAGATCTGAGCCCAGGGAAGCGGATTGGGGTCACCGTACAGCAAAGCAGGGAGAATGGCCATGCCTCTAGGGCTCTGGCTTGGAAAGTTACTCCATGCCTGTGCCAAATCCCTGATATCTCAAGCCTGGTGCGCCGCTACACCCCCGACACGATGACTCCAGACTCCAGCAGCAGCATGGCAGGTGCGCAGACCCGGGTCCTGCGTGGAGTGGATGAGGGTCCGAGCAGGGGGCGCTACTGTTCCGTCAGCGAGAGCCGCAGGATCCGCTCCAGCTCTTCCTCCTCCAGGCGTGCTCGCCGCCGCCTCTCCTCCTGCTCCTGCGCGGACAGCTCCATTGCTAGCCGCAGCTGCTCGTCGTAACTCCGGAACACGTGGCTGCTGGAGCCGGGACCCGGGCTGGGCTGAGGGCTGGGCACTGGTGCTGGGGGCACCGACTGACGCTGCGGCGTGGGTGGGGCGCTCCTGGGGGTGGGGAGGATTTGTCGAGTGCTCCCCGCTCCCGGCACACCTGGGACACCTGCTCGTAAGCGGGGCAGGAGACATCGTGGAGGCCCCAGGGCTGGGCAGACTTGCCACCCTTCTAGGGGAGGCCAGGAGTCTCGCTGGGCTGTCCTGGCCCCACCCGGTGGTAGCAGATCCCGGGTCCCGCCAACCTGTCTGTTGAGGGTCTGAACGTCCTGGGAGTTAGGTCCCTGCTCTCTGCACATGCCTGGAGCACTGGCCACCCACCCTGTGCCAGGAAAGGGGTTTGGCAGAAGCCATCTTGATAACGGGTATTTGATGCCAGATGGAGCCCTGCTGTAGGCACTAAGGGTTCTCTGGGCCTAGCAGGGTTCCAGTGTCACTGTGCAGGCTGATGGGTTAGTGGGAGTCTGTGCGTGTGTGTTGGGGGTAGGAAAGGGAATAGGCACCTTTAAGTTCTCTTCGGCCTCGTGGGCACTGACCTGTCCTGTCGGCGGCCTTCATAGGACATGGGGTGGGTGCCTGGCTTGCTGTTGGTTAGCGCCTCCCAGATGGTGACCTGGGGGGGGGAGGGGCCTATTAGCCGTGCGTGCCTGCACTCGGAATGGCTTGGAATGGCGTCAGGGACACACCTGGTCATACTCACTGCCCGCCTCAAGCAGGCTCTGCTGGATTGCAAACTGCAGCAGATCATCATCTTCATCCCGCGTAGCAGCCTCACGCTGGCCACCCAGCACGCTATAGCCACGGGGGGCCTCGAACAACGCAGGGGAGATCTCACAGCCGCGGCAGGAGGCTGGGGACGTGGGCCAGGGGTCAGGTGGAAGGGCTCACCCCTGGGTGTCAGGGAGGTGAACAGAGCTTGAGAGGGCGGGGCTCTGTGGGGAGTGGAAATTCTCACTGGTAGAACTGGAGCTGCTGACGCTGGAGGAGTCACTTCCCGGGGAGGGTGTCTCGCTGCTGGGGCTGCCTCGCACCGATGGCACTGGCTCATCGCAGCCATTGAGGTTCCCGAAGGTGATGCGGGCGTTGAGGATGTGAAAGATCGGGATTTCTGAGGACAGGGAAGCCATTAAGCACCCTATACTCCCTCATACTTTAAACATACTGCCAAGATCGTCTCTAAACCTCACCCTCCCAAAGAGGTAGAGGAGAAATGGGTGTGGGGTGAGGGGGCACTCACCAATCTTGACTGGGAAGCCAGGAGGCAGGCGCAAGGTGATGAAGTCCCGGAGCTTGGCAAAAAGTGCGTTGCTGACAGCCATGAGGTCAATGATGGGGGCCACCTGCTCACACAGGGACAGGGGATGCTCCTCACACAGCCACAGCTTGGCCTTGAACCTGGTCCCCCAGATCCCAAGGGGTAAGGGAAGCTGTAGGAAGCCATGGATGGCCTCCTAGCACCTCTGAGACCCCTGCCCCGCCCATCCCTCCCCGGAAAGAGCAGGGCCTCACTTCTGTGTCTTGGTAGTCAGTTCCATGGGACGACCCATGTCCCGGTTGCCAAGCTCAAAGTTTGGATTGAAGTACTCCTCTGCAGTGATGGCAGTGGGGTTGGCTTGGCTCAAGGTCTGAGTGATCAGGGTCTGTACCACACAGGAGGGATGCCTTAGTCCTTGGTTCCAGGTCAGGGGTTGGTGACACAAGCCCCCAATCTCTCCCGCCTCCAGCACAGAGCTGACATTGGCTTTGGAAGTCCACATAGGTCATGGTAAGCAGGATGCCACCAGAACCTCCTCCTAAACCACACCCACACCCTTGGAAACAGTAACACCCCTGACACACACTCACCCCATTTTGGGGGCCCCCATGCTGCTCAGCAATTCCCAAGAAAGACTGCAGAGGTGTCTTACAACCTAGAAGAAATGTGGGGGGCACTATAGCCTCATACACATGGGTGCCTCACCCAAGGCAGCTATACCCAAAATCTAGACTGGTGCCTGAGGCAGGGGTGTGGGTAGCTCTCACTTTCACCTGAGAGTGATGAGGACTCTTAGGAGCAGGGCCTAAGACTCACGCAAGCTTGGATGAAAGTAAAGGGCGCCTGAGCAGACATGGTGGATGGCACTTTAACGCCAGCACTCGGGAGGCAGAAAGGTGAGTGGGTGTCTGTGAGTTTGAGGCTACCAGTCTACATCTAGAATTTGAGGCCAGGGTGACACAGTGAGACCCTGTCTCAATAAATAATAAATAAAGTGAATAAAAACACTTAAAGCTCAGAGGAAACGTCCCAAAGTGTCACTCTCCAGGTTAGTGACCTTGGATAGCAAAACGCTTGTCATCTTTTGGAGAGTACGCATGAGCGCTTTCCCTTAGACCCGTCCACATTCATGACTTCATCTTCTTCTCGTGTAAGGTAGTAATTACTCGTCTCCACTTGAGACAAGTTAAATGATGCCCAGTGAATGTGTGTGAGATAAGCAAGTACACAGACTCAGTGGCAAGGCTCTCTGACTTTCTTCCAAAGTTTTGAATCAGATGACTAGATTAACCTATAAATGCCATGCATGACATTTCTCTCTTAAATTCAATACAGACATTAGTAATCAATCACTGAGTCCAAATAAGCCCGAGCAGTCTTCTTTGCAGTATGTTAGGCACCTATTTGAACCAAAATCAATTTGTCTGATTGAGCCATCCTGGCACTGGGCTTCCAGAGAATGCTACTGGGGGCACAAGACCCTCCCACCTACAGCCTCTCTCCCCACGTGTCTCATGCTCATTACCTTTGACCTTGCCCTTGTGCTGTTCTGAAAGATGCTCTGTCCGTGTCCGGGTAATGAGCTCCACATTGGAAGCCCCATACACCTGAGGACAGAGAGGAAGGGGCTTGGAGACAGCTCTGGTGCCCACTCTCAAGAGAATTCTAAACATTCCCTCCAATGAAAGTCTTGGAGGGGCCAGGCGGTGGTGGCGCACGCCTTTAATCCCAGCACTCGGGAGGCAGAGGCAGGTGGATCTCTGTGAGTTCAAAGCCAGGCTGGACTGACAGCCTCCAAAACAATACAAAGAAACCCTGTCTCATAAAAAAAAAAAAAAGAAAGTCTTGGAGGGGATCTTCGTCTCACCCTCTAGGCATGTAGGCAAGTAAATAGAGCGAATCATTCATCTATTTACTTATTCATTCAATGAACTTTTATTTATTTATTTATTTTGGTTTTTCAAGACAGGGTTTCTCTGTGGCTTAGGAGGCTATTCTGGAACTCACTCTGTAGACCAGGCTGGTCTCGAACTCAAAGAGATCTGCCTGCCTCTGCCTCCCGAGTGCTGGGCTGGGATTAAAGGCATGTGCCACCAACGCCCGGCTCAATGAACTTTTTAATGGTACTTGGGATTGAATTCAGGGCTCCTGTACACTAGACAAGTGTTCTACCACTCAGCTGCAGCCCCAGTGTAGGCTAGCAAACATTTGGGAGGAGCAGTTAGACACCAGCCACTGAGGGAGTCCCCAGGGATACAATGATGAGCAAACCTGACACAATCCCTGCCCCTTTGAGAGTCACATTCTAGTTGGAAAGACAAGAAAATATACAGTTAAATATACAGTTATACAACAGTGAGTGATGGCACCCGAGGTCCCTTGTCTGAGCATACAGAACCAGGGAGGGCTTCCAGGAGGAGACAACATGTTCAGGGTCTTTTTTTTTTTTTTTTTTTTTTTTTTTTTTGGTTTTTCGAGACAGGGTTTCTCTGTGGCTTTGGAGGCTGTCCTGGAACTAGCTCTTGTAGACCAGGCTAGCCTCGAACTCACAGAGATCCACCTGCCTCTGCCTCCCGAGTGCTGGGATTAAAGGCGTGCGCCACCAACGCCAGGCCCATGTTCAGGGTCTTAAAGCCTTTGTCAGTGCCTTCGTTCATCATGTGCCAGGCAGGTGGGGTCCCACAATGCCAGCTTTTTAGAGGCCTGGCTTTGAGGTCAGGCAGCCAAGGTGTGATCTCCAGCTCTGCTACCCACAATTGTGCATGTCACTTGTAAGTGTTTTGGGGACTCTGCTAGGTCAGTGAACCACTGCAACAATCATAGCCTCATCTGTAGGCCAGAAAAACATCCCAGCAACCCCTACTCAATGGAGTGCTAAGATTAAATGGGGTGCTATGGAGAGGGCTCAGCAACCTGTAAAGTGGGGTAAAAGCACCTGCCTGTTGTAAGGGGAAATGTGTAGTATAGGTCTCCCCA